TTTTTCCCATTCCAGGTGGAGCTCCCCAGCACTACGTGGCCGTGTCCAGCCCGGTGAACTCGACGCTGCTGCTCCAGGCTGTCCTGGCCAACGTCACGGGGCTGAGGGTGAACCTGAGCCGGGAGCTGTGCCAGGAGCCCGAGAGAGCGCCCGGAGCACAGCCACAGGTGGGGAAAAACATGGGAAAACATCGGGAAAAAAATGGGAAAACAATGGGAAAATATTGGGGAAATAACGGGGAAACAACGGGGAAACAAGGGGAAAAAAATGGGAAAATAACGGGAAAATAATGGGGAAACAATGGGAAAATATTGGGGAAACAATGGGAAAATAATGGGAAAACAATGGGAAAATATTGGGGAAACAATGGGAAAAAAATGGGAAAATAACAGGGAAAATAATGGGGAAACAATGGGAAAATAATGGGGAAACAATGGGAAAATAATGGGAAAACAATGGGAAAAGTGGATTTCATCGTGGGATTGGGGGTGGGGATGGGAATGGGAATGGGATGGGAGTGGGGCAGAAATGGAATCCCGAATTCCCGGTTCTAATTCCCATTTTCCCAGCTGTATGAATACTCCTGGGTGCAGGGTCCCCTGGATCCCAACTCCACGCTCCGTGTCCCGTTCTGTGTCTGTTCCGGGGCCCGTCTGGGACAATTCCCATTTTCATGTCTATAATTCCCATTTTTTGCTGTATAATTCCCATTTTCCCATAGATTTTTCCCGTTTTTTCATTATTTATCCCCATTTTTCCAGCTCTATGAATACTCGTGGGTGCAGGGTCCCCTGGATCCCAACTACACGTCCCGAGCCCCGTTCTGTGTCCGTTCCAGTGCCCGCCTGGGACAATTCCCATTTTTGTGTCTATAATTCCCATTTCTTGCTCTATAATTCCCATTTTTTGGTCTATAATTCCCATTTTCCCATTATCTATTCCCATTTTTCCAGCTCTATGAGTACTCGTGGGTGCAGGGTCCCCTGGATCCCAACTCCATGCTCCGTGTCCCGTTCTGTGTCCGTTCCGGAGCCCGCATTTTCATGTCTATAATTCCCATTTTCCCGTTGATAATTCCCATTTTTTGCTCTATAATTCCCATTTTTTCACTGTTTATTCCCATTTTTCCAGCTCTATGAATACTCCTGGGTGCAGGGTCCCCTGGATCCCAACTCCACGCTCCGAGCCCCGTTCTGTGTCCGTTCCGGTGCCCGCCTGGGACAGTTCCCATTTTCCTGTTGATAATCCCCATTTTCCCATAGATTTTTCCCGTTTTTTCAATATTTATCCCCATTTTTTTCCAGCTCTATGAATACTCGTGGGTGCAGGGTCCCCTGGATCCCAATTCCACATCCCGTGTCCCGTTCTGTGTCCGTTCCGGTGCCCGCATTTTCATGTCTATAATTCCCATTTTTTGCTGTACAATTCCCATTTTCCCATAGATTTTTCCCGTTTTTCCATTATTTATCCCCATTTTTCCAGCTCTATGAATACTCCTGGGTGCAGGGTCCCCTGGATCCCAACTCCACATCCCGTGTCCCGTTCTGTGTCCGTTCTGGTGCCCGTCTGGCCAAGGCGCTGTCCCCGGCGTTTGAGCTGCGCCAGTGGGGATCCCGCGAGTTTTCCACGTGGACAGAGAGCCGATGGAAAGACATCAGAGCCAGGATATTCCTGGTGGCCAGTCCACAGCTGGAGGTGAGAGATTAACTGGGATAAACTGGGATAGACTGGGAATGGGAATGGGAATGGGATAAACCGGGAATGGGAATGGGAATGGGATATGGGATATGGGAATGGACAGAGAGCCGATGGAAAGACATCCGAGCCAGGATATTCCTGGTGGCCAGCCCACAACTGGAGGTGAGAAACTGGGATAGACTGGGATAGACTGGGAATGGGATAGACTAGGAATGAGATAAACCGGGAACGGGAATGGGATATGGGTTATGGGATATGGGACGTGGGATATGGCATATTGGATATGGGATATGGGAATGGACGGAGAGCCGATGGAAAGACATCAGAGCCAGGATATTCCTGGTGGCCAGCCCACAGCTGGAGGTGAGAGATAGACTGGGACAAACTGGGATAGACTGGGAATGGGAATGGGAATGGGATAAACCGGGAATGGGATATGGGATATGGGATATGGGATATGGGATATGGGATATGGGATATGGGATATGGGATATGGGAATGGACAGAGAGCCGATGGAAAGACATCAGAGCCAGGATATTCCTGGTGGCCAGTCCACAGCTGGAGGTGACAAACTGGGATGGACTGGGATAGACTGGGAATGGGATAGACTGGGAATGGGATAGACTGGGATAGACTGGGATAAACGGGGAATGGAATAA